AAAAGGGGCAGATATAAGATTTTTTTTCTTCTTTCTGTCTCCTTTCATTTTAAGTGTGATTTGTATTTTTTGAGTACAATTTTTTTGTTTATTTTTAAATAAAAAATTAATAAAAAAACATTAGAAAAAAAAGTCTGTGAATATCTATATATACCTAAAGAAATCTGGGTGGGGGTGTGTCTGAGTAATTTACAAACAGTCTGTACAAGTTGACGTACATGAAAGAGTGAGTTACTCAATTTTTACCATTTTTTTTAAACTTTCTTGGAAATCAAGGCGAATGCAGACAAAAAGCATAAAATAGAATAAAAAAGATATGGAGTGGGATTTTCCCAGTCCAGCTGACTCACTCCAAAAGTAAGAAATTGGATTATTTATTTTTTTTACATCCACTCATCCACCATTTGTTTTCTACATTCCTAACATTTGCTCCTCATTTCCAAACAAGTCAATAATGTGAATTAATATCAGTCTGGTATGAATGTTAAGCAATGATTGCAGAGTAAAAAAAAAAAGACAACCAGAGGGCAAACCCATCAAAATAATGAAGAAATGAGATTTGTTTTTGCCATAAAATCTAAATTTTCATTAATTTAAAAAGGATATAATTAGTAGGTAGTTTGATCTGTTTACTGTTCCACTATGAATAAAGTATAAGGTTTACGACATTTGCATTCCGATTTTTATTTTTACACAGAATTCCACCATTTTTAGAACCGAGCTTGCGCTTCATCCTTGCTCCATGTGTTATCCATTACTTTCTTAAATTTCTTTTTGTTTTTGCCCTACTTCCATCTGTGCCAACACCACCCCTGGCAAATTACTAGCAAACACCGACACATGTACACATTCAAACAGATTGGAAATGACTGCCAGAGTCCTTGCTTTAGGTTGGCATGAGTACAGCACACTGACTGTTGCTTTTACCAGCGGCTATTTTAAAATCAAATCAAAAGAGTGATTTAGCAGGCAAATATGAGACAGTCTCTGCAAACGCCTAAAGCGCAAGTTTAAGCTCAAGTTTCATCAAAATGATATTAAAGGTTTCCTAACCAGAACAACTTATTATGATTGATTTTTTTTAAAATAAAGTTTATGAGTCTAAAACACTGGCTAGCTGAGTGTAATAAAGACCGGAATGGCAAGCGAAGAGTGGAAAATAGTCTGTTTTTGGTCAAACATTAAAAAAAAAAATCTGCAAGTACTGAAAGCATACAAGCCCTGAAAAGTTTGAACATGGCAGTTCTCATTATCAATCCACAAGATATGAAACATCCTGCCATTGGTGCACACATTGTCTGCATGTCTCAATTACAATCTGAATTCTTTACTTCAGCAACACACAAAAACACACACAAACCAGTGATGCTTGTTGGCGTATTTACTCACAGAAAGGTCTGTAAGCAATCACATACAGAAATATGTTTAAAGCTAGATAAAATGAGTTATACTTAATAAATTCAGGAAACTATAATAAGTCCAACTTTACAGACGAGCTTTGCCCAACTCATTCATTTCCACTAAACAGAACCTGCTGTGCGTGTGTGTGTGCGTGTGTGTGTGTGTGTGTGTGTGTGTGTGTGTGTGTGTGTGTGT